TCCTGCTGAGATGTTTCACATTAATCATCTAGACTGTAGGAATATCCCTTTCTTTTCCTAAGAGACTTTTAATATGGAAAGCTATTAGGTAGTGTTGACAGTAACTTAAAGCTACATTAAGGATTAATTCAAAATCTAGCTAGCGCTAGCAGGGGACTCCAGAATCAATCACCTCCTCTCTGCCTAGCCCTCCCTCTCCCTGCACACTCCACTCTGCTCCGCACTCCTCTCGACCCTTCGTGAATGCAAAACTGTCACACAGTATCATAGTTTGGAGAAGTTATCAGGCAGCATTCAGCTGGTGGGCACTAAGTACTGTATCTCACCCAACTCACTGCCCTGCTTCATGTCTGCTGGAAACACAGCACAACTGTATAGCAATGTACACTACATGACAGGCAGACACATTTACAGCCAGCACAGTTTGTGAACAGGTGGGCCAACACCCATTTCTCAAAACTGTGGGGGAGGGAGGTGATTGTTGGGGGAGCAGCTGCTGATTGCAGGTACAGGGTGGGGTGAGAGTGGGAGAGTGGTATGGAGTTCTGCTGTTCAATCCTGCAGTAAAACACGTTTGTCTGCCGATGGATGGTTCTCCACAGCAGGGAGGGGTGGCTGGTGTTTCCTGTAGCCAGTGATGTTCCATAAGTTCCCCCACAATGACAATGGGTCATTAGTCTGACATTGTTTTTCAGCCTTTCAGAGTATCTCGTCTTTGCCCCTCTGATCTCTTTTCACTGTGTGTTTCTGGCCTGATTGTACACTATTCTGTTCCCACCCTTATAAGCTTGAGCTTCACTGTGAAACAGGCCTTGTTGTTATTGTATGTGCAAAAGGTCTTGGTGGGCACCCATGTTCTCACAAAAGCTGACATGATGTCACAGTGTCAGTGTACTCATCCAGGTCTATAGACACAGCCTCAAATACACACCAATCTGTGTAGTCAAAGCAGGCCTGTAGCTCTGACTTTGCCTCATCAGGTCATCTCCTCACTGTTCTAACTACAGCCTTTGCAGCTTTAAGTTTCTGTCTGTAGATTGTGATAAGATAGACTGTGCAGTGGCCCCAAGGGCTGCACGGGGAACAGAGTATTGAGCATCCTTAATCACAGTGTAGCAGTGATCCATTGTGTTTTTGTTCCTGGTGGGACAGCTGACATGCTGTCTGTACTGGGGCAGTTCATGAGTAATATTTGCTCTGTTAAAATTCCCCAAGATAATGAGCAGGGAGTCTGTGTGTTTGTCTTATGTTGGCTAATAGCTATAATGCCGTTTTAACACAAGACTGTGGTGAAATACATACTCTAACCAGGATAAATGAGGAACATTCTCTAGGAGAATAGAATGGTTTGCAATTAATGCATAGTGCCTCCAAGTCTATGTTACAAGTTCACTTCCTTACACCAACCTCCATTAATGTAGGAACAGATTCCACTTCCTCTCGTCTTTCCAGATAATTCCTTCGCACAGTCTGCTCTATAGATGTGAAATCCTGGCAGCCCATATAGGATTGAGTTATTAGAGTTGTCTTAGTTGCATTATGACTGTGGGTCGTAAACTGTTGTGAACAGTGTCATCTTATGCAGGAAATATAAAATGGTAATAAATATCTATTATTTGTGACCAGTGAGCCATACTTTTGTACAGTTGTAAGGATATCTTATGTATTTCAGCCAATTTTGTCTTGAACTGAAGAAATTTCAGCCCTTTTTTGAAAAGCACAGTTATATTCTTTTATAATAACTTAATTTAAGATGTGAAGCAGTCATTGTTTAATCTTTTTCTGTTCTCTTCCAGGTTCGGGGGTTGTCAGATGAGCTGGCCAAACAGTTATGGATGGTACTTCAGAGGTCCATGGTAACGGTTCGTCGTGATCCTACCATGCTGGTGTCAGTGGTTCGTATAATTGAGCGGGAGGAGAAGATCGATCGGCGTATGGTTGATCGTCAGAAGCAGACTGCTTTCATCCCGCCGGGTCGACCCAAACGATGGAAGAACAAGATGTTTGAGGTAAGAGGAATGATGAAGGATCAGATCATTAATCAAATTTTGAAGACTATTACTTGGACAGTTAGGCTTATAGGGCTGAATGAAAACTTGTCAAATGTAAATTGCAGTTTAATAGAACACAGTTTTCAAATTGCAAAAGCTGGGATTTAAACTGCCATTAAAAACACTAGAGTTACAGAACAGCTACTAATTAAGCTACTAGTAGCTACTAATTAGCTATGGAGACCAAAACCGTTTTTTGTAGCAGGCGGTGAACATGTTTATTTCTGCTGTAAAGTTGGGCTATGTTAAAATACATGGGAGTTTATGGGGATTGACTCCTTTTTGGAGCCAGCCTCAAGTGGCCATTCCAGGAGCTGCAGGTTATGACACCTCAGCATTGTCTTTGTTTCTAAGCCTCGGAGGTTCCCACTTGGACGATGCGAGGCAACACCACAAATTTCTTGCAGCATTTAAAAACCCCCACAATTTCCAGCTGTCCCTTATAATACTGGGTTGTCCATTTCAATAAATAAAATGCTCCTTGCCATTGTCTTGTATGGGATCAATATCACACTTTGCCAATACTGCATCAATACAGGATGCAGTTTGTCCTTTTTAATACTTACATTTATTGTACACAGTGGTGAACACATCGTAATAGCCTACTAATTAAAGTTAATCCACTTCAGAAAAGCTGTGGGATCAGAGGGATTAAAGGTATAGTCAGCAATTCTAGTAAAAGAATGTTGCATTTTGATCACCATGAACACAAATCCACAAGTCGTTTCAGTTAGGAGCTCGTAATGACGTCACTCAGAATGCACATTACCACTGCAGCCATACTAGTGACTGGAGGAAGGGCCGATGCCAGCGGAGATGTCAGAATACTAGCAACTAGGGCACAACGTAGAGCTGACCAGCTATAGACTCCACTGTTATTCTCTCACAACACTCTCCAGCTGGTACGGCTGAAGTCAGAACAACTGCCTACATTTGCAAACTGGAGCAGCACAGCTCCACCTCTCACCTCTGTCTGCCTCCATTAGCTGTTGGGTCCCGAAACTCTGCAACCCAGACACCCTTTGTACTATTGTCATTGTTAAACACTGAAGCAACAGTGACTGTTGTTTATTCACTTTACATGAATAACAGTTCTAAAAAAACTTAAAGGTGTGGCAGAGAAAAGAACTTGAAAAATATAAAATGCTTCAAATAATCCAGTGCATCTAGCAGCAGTGACTGTGCCGAAAACAATGGATTCAGAACCACAGCTCCCAGTGAGTCCAGTCCAAACGCCAGTGAGGTTTTATCCTACAGCATAAGAGGAAGTCAGAAAGAAGCTAGTCAGATTTTATTTAGCATTTTTTATTTGGATTTTGTTTAGCTTTGTTTTTAGCTGCTCTGGTTTTATCAGAAATTCTAATGCACTATTCAAAGTCGGTGATGAACTCAAATCTGCAGAATTTTATGAATGAAGGAAGAAAAGAAAATGTTTTTCTGTGTTTACTGCTCTACAGTTTGAATTCTAATCTCATACTCTCTAGTTATAGCCAAATAATTAGTTACAGAAAGGAGAGTGAAAACTAAAAATACAATTTAGCCTAATACAAAGCAAATGTAGCGACAATAAACCCAACCCTTGGCACCACCATGTATGAGGATGTTGGGTTCATCTTCCTACTGTCATTAACAGTAAAGCTTGTTTTCAGCTAATAATTCAGAAGAAAATGGGAAAATCTGCATATTAAATCACAATCACAGTGCTTCTAAAAAATTACAATTTGAGTATTTTCCCAAATTGTTCAGCCCTAGGCTTATAATTATTTCTTTGTCCTCAGAGGTTGCCACTGATTTGTCAGTTATTTAGCCCCTAGTTTGATGACCCTTGTTTGTCTTTACCTTCATCAGCTGTCTTATCCTTTTTCTTTTGGTTCTTCTTCCTTATTCAAACCTTTGTCCCTTTTGTATTTGCAAACCCTCATCCCTTTCTCCCTCCTTTACTTTTCTTCATGCAAATATATGTCATCTTGTTCCTTATCTACTTTACATTTGACTCTTCTTTGAATTTTTCCTGCTTTCCCACTCCAGATCCCACTCCTGCCATTGATGATACTATTTTTGTTTTCTGTTTTTCTTTTTTCTCTTTCACAAACATGGCTTTGTGCAACATGTTATCACCAGTAGGTCTTCTTCTGCATTGGCGTTTCAAGCTGAAATGTAATTACATTTTGTGATGCGGTGTTGAAGTTTCAGTTGTCTTTGCCTCAGTATGAGTTGGTTGCTCACCAGTACAGACTCAGCCCCTAAACCACTCGACCTTTCCTGAAGCCTTCGATCTCCTTCTGTTGCAGGTGTTGGAGGGTACAGTCGGCACCCGCATTGAGAGCACGCAGGCGGTTACGAGAGAGGCTGATAAAATGTGGCTGGTTCGTCTTCTAGAAATAACCAGGAAATATGTTTTGGATGACCTCCTTGTCGTCAAGAACCTTATGGTGCAGTGCTTCCCCCCACACTACAACACTTTCAACAGGTAAAAGATACAGTACATATGTTCTTTGCCTGGCCATTTCGGTAAGCGTTTGCTCTCATGTATTTATGTGTGTTCCAGATTTTTCTGTCTCTACCACAATGCTGTGTCCTACCGTATTAAAGAACTGTCTGCTGAGGACTTGGAGGCTAATGAGATTGTGTCTCTGCTAACCTGGGTTCTCAACACATATCAGAGGTACACACACAAGCATGTTTTCAAGCTCTGTGTGCATATGGTCACTAGCACACACAGGAAACAGTCTTACACAGACAACGGGGCTTGTGCATTTCTAGTTTGTACTGGGGCAACTGCAACAGTCAATCATTTGGTGAATTTCTGTCAAGTGCTTTTTCCCTGTTTAATCTGGCAAATGTGATTTGTGATGTCTTTGTGGTGACTTCTGTAAGTTATTAGATAATGAGTCATTCTCCTTGAGCCCAGTATGTATAGATGTGTGCTGAATCCTTGAAAGCAAAACTGAAGCATCAAGGATAAGACAACACTCCAATACCTTCCTCACCATGCAAACTGGCAACTGTATTACTCCGGTACAAATCTAGTCCAGTTGATTTTTTTCTAAGGCTTTTTCAGTTTACTATGACCTGGATGACTGAGAACCTGCACAGACATCCGGTACAACAGCCGTTTACATGTGACAACTGACACTTTACCATAATCAGTACCAGTCCATCTTGCTTTACCACAGTAATTTGGCATCATTATGATGCTGTTATTTTAATTTATATGCTGCATCTAAAGCCTAAATTGCAGTTAGCTGCTGCAAAACTCATTCTGATGCAACAGTTTGTCCACTAAGGCTGAATGAGCATGTCTCCCAAAATGTCAAATTGTTCATTTAAGGAAAAGTGTTTATGTATTTACTTAGAGTATATTATCACTGGCTCATAGAAATCAAGAGGCGTCTGCAGATAGAACTGATCTGTGTATGTGTGCATGTACAGTACACTTGTAGGCATTCAGCGTGTCCCTCTCTGGCACAATAAGTGGCCACTTTCACCGCGACTGTTCGTCATTTGTCCGACAGCCACGCATGTGTTACAGTATAATGTCTGTAGGTGGCGCTCAGCCTACACTCACAGGAACAGCACCCTGTGCACATACAAACCATTGCCCATAGGTTCCTATATGCCTACTTAGAGGTAAAGAAAAAGCCCTGTGGTCAGGCTTTGCTTTAAACTGTGATTATGTTGTGTGTGGATTGTGATGTTAGTTTAATATTTTGTAGGTTTTCCTTCAGACTAATGAGCCAACCCTTCCTCCTATAAAAACTACGCTCCTAGAGTATGCAACATATGTGACTGCTGAATGTGTAATGTAGCACTGCAGCATTTTTTAACCACACCTCCTTTATAGCCACCATGTCTCCAAAAGCTCTTTTCTTTTTTTTTCAGGGATCAAGTTGTTGGATAATACTCCAATGCAACACATTATTGAATAGATGAAGCTCTGCATTTTTCTATAAACATGGCGGCCTGCTGTTATTGTCTGGGGCGGATAGTAAGGCTACAAAACATGGCACTGGTACTTTAGATGCTGGAAGATGAGTCTGCTTTGCGTTTTGGTTGACCCACTGCTAGGCCTCTTGATCATGTGGGGGTGGTACTGAAAAGTGACACCTAACTTACGGTGTTACCAGCATGCAGCGTGCAGCCTGTGGTCCTGAGCTTTATTTTAACCCCTCATCAGAAAAACAAGTTGAAAGACTCCATTTTCAAATCTTGCTGCGGTGAAATTACAAATAAAAAGTAACAGCTACTGAATGTAAGGATGTTCTCTCAGCCCAGTATTTCAGCCAATCACATGTCTCAATCAGCCAGCTCTGTTGAAGGCTCAGTGCGACGCAGCACAATCACTCTTCACTACCCACTCCAAACAGTAACAACCGGCTGCCATGCCTGTAGAAAAATGCAGCACCTCATTTATTCAATAATACATTGCAATGGAGTATTATCCAGCATGATCCCTAAAAAAAGAGTAACGTTTTAGGAGACGTGTGACTGAAGGAGTTTGCTATAAAATAGCCATTTGGGATGGATCATTTAAATAAATAGCACAGTGGTCCACAGCTGATAAACCTTCGTTCTATCCTATAGTATGGGCTCTGGTTTTTTAATGACCCCAAACCTTCAGTATTTTAGCTGATGAAATTTTATGTCCACCACAAAGTCAATACAGTTACAGGGTTATGACAGCAGCTGTGTGATAAATCACCTTTAAAATGAGTGTTTCCAAAGAATTGTCTACTTCTCTGCAGCAAACTGTACATGGTGTTCACTACTGTATGCTGGTAATTATGGTGCTGTGTTAACCATGTTTAATGCAGTAGATCTTTGGCTAGAGACGTGAAACCCAGCGTAACAGATTATAAGCAGTACCTGTATGATAAAAATACTGTATGGTCTGACAATTCAGAACCCTGTACTGTTGGTGGACGGTATAGTAGGCTTTGTGACATCTGGTGGCCAAAGGGAGAACTGCAGGTCGGAATTTATGAGTATCAAGCAGGATAAAAAAACACTGCATTAATGACGCAGCACCACCGACAGGGCACCACAAATACAATGCAGTGAAAAGGTGTGACACTTTCATTGCCTACATCTGTATATGTTTCAGTGTGGAGATGATGGGCCATCCAGAGCTCCAGTCAGAGTGTGACATCAACCAGCTGGAACCGCTGCTGCCTCAGACTGTGGTGGATCACCTGCTCGGCAAATATGTCAAGACATTTACAGTAAGCCCCACTTGCACACTCAGAGAAACACTAATAGTAGTAACCTTGCCTGTAGTCTTTAGGGCTCTGACACGCCAAGCCCATGGTCAGCTGCTGGCCACTGTTGGGCCGTCAGTGAGTGTTTGTTGCCCTTTTCTTCAAAGTGTGTCTTCTACCTTTGACACTAGTTAGACCCTGTTGGTGGCTTTTCAGCTGATTCAGCATGCTGAATCAGCGGCAGGCCTTGTTGGCAAGAGAGACCACTCTGACTCGCCATTCAGCTTAGCGAATCACTGCATGAGAAGAGAACGGGTTGGGAAAGCCCCTTCAGCCTGTCACTGTAGTAACCATGATTTCACCCATTGTAGACTTTGCGTACTGCTGTTCTCTTACTATTGTCTTCAACAGCATAGTCCTTCAACCCAAATTTTATTATTTCGAACTAGAGCCCTCCAGGATAACTGCTTCCTGTGACCTGCATTGCCTTCTGCCACATTCTGGTATGTTGCCAGGTTTGTGCATATTGCACTAGAAGTCACCCAACTGTGTTTCAAAAACAAAGCATAACTTTTTGATATCTAGAAAAATGCAGATATTTAATTTGAAAAAAGTGAAGTAGTTTCGAGTCATCAATCTGAAGTCCAAGTCAAATCTCAAGTCATGAATACCTAGTCAAAGTTGAGTCTTTTACCAGTGTTAGTCAAGGAACTTTCAAGTCCTCAGCTTTGCTACTTACAGTAAGTCTGACTCAACTCGAGTCATGTGACTCGAGTTCGCTACCTCTGAATAATAGTAACTGTGTAATACTGTGATATTTTCTGGGATGGTTATTGTGAAAACCTCATTCCATTGCAACCTTAGTGTCACAGCTCCTCTCCTGGCCTTGCACCTTGCCAGGGCTATAAAGTGTCCAAATCAACATTCACAGGAAAATGCCAACATATCATACTGAATCAAAGTTAACCAGGTTTCAGTAACAGAGAAACAAGGTTCCAAGCCTTCATTTTGTTAAGTGTGGACCCAGACTCTGTCTGAGTGTCAGTGTCTTCAGTCTAATATAACAGGTTGGCTGCGGAAGGCCTTGGAAACAGACAAAAAGGACTGGAAGAAAGAAACAGAACCAGAGGCCGACCAAGATGGCTATTACCAGACCACACTGCCAGCCATTGTCTTTCAGGTACCACACACACACACTATCCCTGACTCTGAATAACAAGCCACCCCATTATGCACAGCTATTATACATAAATGTTTCTCCAAAGGAATACAGTCCAATGATGAACTGTGCCAGGTTTTTAACCAGAATCAGCATTTGGCTGTCAGGCCAAATTTGTCACATCAAGCCTCATTTTCTCTGATTGCTGTGTGTGAAGTTTGGCAAACTCAGGAGTTGATGGAGACCAAACCAGAGCTAAAAAGATAGTAAATATTGGACTTTCACTTATACATGACCCCAAATGAATGCTACTGTTGCTATGTGCCTGCTGGGTGTGTACATAGACAGATGTTGCTAACATGTAATATATCAACTTAAAAGGTGATAATATGTCAGTGTGGTGTTTAAAGATTAGTTTTGCGGCCATCAGGTGTCCCAGAGGACCCTCTTAATGTCTGTTTAGAAATTCCAGGCACCAGCATCCATCCATCTAAACCGAATATCTCAGTATATTAGTCTAAATGCATGAAAATGAGGTACAGAGTTTGAGTAGTTCAAGTTGTGGCTGTATTCCATAAGTCACCATGGTGACTTATGGAATACTGAAATAAGTGAAAGGTTTGAACCTTTCCTATTTGTTTGCTTTCTGATACTTGCAATGAAAACATTTCCTTGAAGAGCACAGTATTCATTCCACCCATTCTCTTTGATCTTAATGTGTCCTCACTCCCCTCTTCATCAGATGTTTGAGCAGAACCTACAAGTTGCTGCGCAGATTGATGGGGATTTTAAAGAACAAGTGCTGAAGCTCTGCCTGAAACAGATGAACACTTTCCTTATGAGGTCATGTTTTTATACTTTTTGAATTTCTTTCTGATGTGATAGACTTTTAAAGGTCACATATTATGCAAAATTCAGTTCGGATTTGTCTCTCTTTATGACGTCATACAAAATTTAAAGAAGCTTACGCTTTATTTTTATGGGATTCATTCTATCACTGCCATCCGTTGACAAGCTCAATGAAGAACATGTCAATCTTTTTTAATAAGAGGTTAAATAAAAGTATTTTTCATGAAGTATAAATATATTATATCTACATTTACACAATGATTACTGTCTAAAAATAGAATAATTACCCTATAATTATTGGTTCCCTGCAACCAGAGCTCAAGTCAACAAAGTCTTGCAATACTTCTAACAGTCACCATGTAAAACTAATGTGTGTTGTTGTGTGTACTGTAGGTACAGAGAGGAGGTGGTGGTCTACAAAGAAGAGCACCTGAGAGACAGACAGCTGCCTCAGTATTATGTACAGTACATGATAGCCATCATTAACAACTGCCAGACATTCAAGTAAGATTGGATTCTCTACATGTACTAGTGTGAAGTTTGACCAATCTTTGTTTCAGGTGAGCGTTTGTCCCTTATAGCTTGTAGGTTGTTGTATTGTTTTGTTTGTGACAGCTGTTGCCCTGAGATGTGTGTTTGAGAGATGTATGTTTTCACGTTGTCTGTCTTTACATATATCAGTTCATCCTATTCCTGTGAATGTGCTATCTTGGGAATACCTTGAAGGAATTTCTTCAAATTTGGCACAAACATCCACTCAAGGATGAACTGATTAGATTTTGATGGGCAAAGGTCAAGGCCACGTGACCTCATGTCTGTCCCATTCTTGTGAATGTGATAAGTCTGCACTACATATTATAGGAGTCTGGACATTGACTGTATAAAAAATGGAAGCCATGAGAGCTCCCAGAAGTGAAGCCACCACGAAGCCAGATACCAGACAATATTGAATGTGCAGGCTATGTGAAAGTAGGCAATGAAAGATGATTGGCAATGTTCTTGAAGTTACTAAGAGGTTTAATTATTTTGTTTGAGGTGATATTGCAGGCTGTTTTCATCAGACCAGATGCCAAGGTATTTGTAGTCCATGAACCCTCTAAATATTAACACCAGGATCAGCTTTACTGGCCAGGTGTGTTGAACACACAAGAAATATGACTTTGGTACAGCGACTCTCATTGTGCATCTACAGTAAAACCTTGGATTGCGTGTGTTTTGCAAGATAGGCAAATTTTTTTTTTGGTGATGGTGCTGATGTTGGGCATCCATTTCAGGTCCTGGGAGAAATTGGGGAAAGCATACATCCCTGGGGGGGCACCTGTGTCTATTGTCCAGGTGCTGAATGTGGTTTTCCCCAGCCTCACCTGCTGCTTCCTGTCTGTCAGAAAGCTGGTGATCCACTGACAGGTGGGGGCAGGCACAGTGAGCTGGGTCAGTTTGGAGTGGAGGATGTGCAGGATGATGGTGTTGAACACCAAGCTGAAGTCCACAAAAAGGACCTGAGCATAGGTCCCTGGGGAGTTGAGCTGTTGCATGATGTAATGCAGTACCATGTTGACTGCATCATCCACTGTCCTGTTTGCCCGGTAGGCAAACTGGAGGGGGTCTGCAATGTCCTTCAGATGGGCCCATACCAGTCTCTCAAAGGACTTTATAACTACAGATGTTAGGGCGACAGGTCTGTAGTCATTTGGTCCGCTGAAGGAGGGTTTCTTGGGGACTGGCATGATAGTGGAGCGTTTGAAGCAGGAGGGGACTTCACACAGCTCCAGTGATCTGATGAAGATACAGTAAGTGTGAAGATGGGGGCCAGCTGATCAGCACAGGCTTTCAGACAGGAGGGACTCATACTGTCTGAAAGCCTGATGCCTTTCTGATCCTTAGTTTTTATTTATTTATTTTTTAAAGGCCATACATCCTCTTCACAGATCTTCAGGGGTGGGGGGCTGGGAGGAATGGAGGTGATCATGGGGGGAGCAGCTGCTGGGTCTGAGGTGAGGTTGGGTGAACCGGTGCCCAACTTGTATGTGATTTGCGCGTGTGTGTCCTCCTCCCTTGTGCTACACTCAACCCCAATGGCAACAAGCGTGTGAGAGAACACCCTACCAAGCAGCTGTTCGTGCTGCCATTTTGATGAGTGGTGAGAGGGAAATGATCATAATGTATGTGTCTTTGTCTGGAAAACATCATAAACCTCTCAGTGACTGCTTGGACAGAATCAGCAACACAGTCTGTCTATATACAGATGAATTTTGCAGTCACATAACAAAGAAATAATTGAATTACTGTTACAGTTAACCAGGGCAGGTCCCAAAACGGGCCAGACAGTTGTGCTTACGAAAATGTGTCGTAAATATTGTTGTGTGCTCAAGAAAAATATTCTATGAATAAATAAAACATGAATGATTAAATAAAATTTCATTATGCCATGAAACAATTACGTATGCATGTTTATATTTTTGGTAATTTATTCATGTACTATACAGTAGTTCTTGTATTTATTTAATATTGAACACTTTGGAGTTGCATATTTTAATGAATGACTTCTATCTCAGAGAGTCCATCAACAGTCTGAAGAGGAAGTACTCTGAGTCTTCAGAGCCCACTGACAGTGATGCTGCCATAGAGAGGACACTCAATGAGGTAGCCAAGGAGGGATGTCAGTTCCTATTGGATGAAGTCTTCCTAGACCTCGAAGTAAGAAGGACTCCTTTTATACTCATTTACTGTATATTGAAAGGATGTTCATTGCATTTGTCAGGAGGTTATTCTCTCTGTATCTCACTATGGGAAGTGCTCTTTGACCAATCACAGAATCTCCATTATCACCATGTCAGCTGAGTTGTATTTTACCAGCCCACTCCCTTTGTAGCCTTCTACGGCCCTGTGAACAGCATTCTTGCTTTCTTACTTGTGAAGATCTCTTGAGCTTCTCAGCTGGATTTCTGCTCAACCATTCGCCAATGAAACCATCAAGATAGCCCCCAGATGCGGTTTTCTGATGTGGGGATTTTAGCTTTAGAGTTACATCTTTTCATCAAGAAAAGATGTCGTTTGTTTCCATGTGGTAGTTTTGCAGACCCACACCTGGCCTTGTTTTGTTATACAAGCCTCATTTCCAGACAAGTTGGAACATTTCCCAAAGTGTAATAAAAACAAAAATATGTGATTTGTTAATTTGCTTCTCATTTTGGCAGTATGCCCTCCACTAGTGTAGTGATCAGTTTAAGCTCTCAGCTTCTTTAGAAAATAAACTTGCAACTTCAGGTTTTCTCTTCATCTTCCATAATTATTCAGCATTGCATCTCATCCTTCAGCTGTTTCAGCAGTGGATTTCAGCTATTTCAACATTATCAGGGCAGTACTCAAGCAATCAGCATCCACACACATTTTCTGCAGAAAATGCTTTTTTTCTAGTTAGCCTTGCATCGCACAGTACAATTAAAAATTGCATTTACATCCCTTTACAATAGTCCCTTCAGAGATAGTCTTGGTAATTGACAGGCACTTGGTTTTAACAGTTAAGTTTTATTGACAGTGTGTGCTACCACGGTATTGTTGGTGTATAGATGGATACTTATAGATAGATATAGATAGATACTGTCATTTGGCAGTAATGCCCTCCACACAGCAGTGTAAATATATACAAATACATAAAAAATAACAGCAATGATAAAACTAAATACAATAAGTATGTTAACTGTGTTTAAATACACGTTATAAAAGAATTAAAAGAATAAAATAATAAATGTGGTTTTTTTTTAGGTCCAGTGCAATAATGGGTGAATTTTTCAGTTTTGCTGTGAGTTATGAGTTCAATAGTCTGTCCACCACTCAGGGGTAAAAACTGTTCTGCAACCTGTTTGTCCTTGTGCAAATGATCCTCAACCTGCCTGAGGGAAGAGTAAGGTGTACCCGGGATGGGTAGAGTCCCTTGTGATGTGTACACTACACAGTAAATCACCCAGTATGATTTTTGACCATTTTGTAACCAGACAGCGTTCATATTAATCTCACTCACTTGTTTTTTACAGGCAATATATCAACACGTAAACTTGACAACTATAGACACCTGATGCATTAATTATCTTAGGACAACTCAGGAGCCTTTTACTGACAGCAAAAAAATTTGGCACCTAAGGAAATTATATTAAGAAAGAAGTTGTCTTGTCTTAGTTGTCTTGATTTTGATGTTGATGTTCCATTGCACTGACCAGCATCACCTGAATGAGCTGCTGACCAGGAAGTGGCTAACGGGCTCGCATGCTGTGGACACCATCTGTGTGACAGTGGAGGACTATTTCAATGATTTCAACAAGATCAAGAAACCCTTCTGTCAGGTAGGAGCAGAGCAGAACATATGCGCTTAGTATGGTGTGTCCATAAAGTCCTATGTGAGATTCTCCTAGGAGACTTAATGGAAATACATTTGTGATGGGGTTAGGTGGAGGTGAGTGACTTAAATTAATATAATGTGTCCAACATGGGTCATTTTCTCACAGTTCCCAAGCTGTGGGAGAGCGGTGCACGCTGTGAATGCCACTGTGAATTTAGTACAGAGATTCTTCATATGACCTTATGGCATGCTGGCTGTGGTGTGTGCAGGAGATGACAAGTGAGGCCCTGCGCAGAGTGGTGGTGGAGTACATTAAAGCAGTGATGCAGAAGAGGATCACCTTTAAAAACGCTGATGAGAGGAGGGAGGGAGCTGAGAGGATGATCAAAGAGGCTGATCAGTTTAAGTTCCTCTTCGGGAAGCTGGCAGCTGTGAGTTCAACTACAGATTAATGGTTTTTCTGTATCTCAGTAATACTCACTTTAAGCATAATCATTATAGTTGTTGTAGCTCAAATTTAAACTCAGAGTGCAGTTTGACAAATTTATCAGTCGATAGCAAAGCCTGGAAAAACCATTCTAGTATGCACCAGTACTTTACTGAATGCACACTCTGATGGAGGCCCTCAGGTGCTGCTGCTTTGACTGCACGGCCAGCACAGGCATGGTGCAGCACTTGGCTGGTAATGAAATTAAAACCTTTTAATGCTGGAGGAGCATGTCTGACTTTGCTTGTGTGTGTGTGTGTGTGTGTGTGTGTGTGTGTGTGTGTGTGTGTGTGTGGGTGTGTGGGGGGTGAAGACACAACCGACTTTGTGGTGCCATCGCTGCCATTGCTGAAGTGTTCAAGCTGACTGACCCTACACTGCTTTTCCTGGAGGTCACCACTCTGGTGTCCAAATATCCTGACATCAGGTACACACAGCCAAACACACGCACACACACACTGACAGCCATTTCTCCTGGCATTAACATCATTCATTTATCTTAACTTTGTCTTGATATGACATTATATTTAGAGGTGTCTCTATATTTTTTTTCCTCCCCAGCTACATACATGAGTGTCTGAATATTAGGAACACCTCTGAATATAATGTAGTCCAGTAAAACACCACCTTTAACTATGACCTCAATAATAAACCATTAGTTAGACTGATGGGTTTTTGTGTTGCTTCAACCTTGCAAAGTCATTATCAAGCTTTTTCTCTTCAGAACTGATGAAGCCTCTTGGATGTTTCCTTTCTCCTAGTAATCCCTGACAGTGTTCCAACATGCATAGTACCAGTGGCCTAAAATGGGAAGCCAGTGTTATTAATGCTCCTCACTACACCAAATATTTTAAGTGTCTTGTATGGGTTTTTGCATAAACATTTTCTTTGGCTTTCTGGGTCACCAGTTAATAATCATAGAGCGGGTTGATCCCACCCTACCTAAACATTGCTGAGGATTTTTTATATCCTTTCTCAAAAGGGAGGAGCACATCCAGGCATTGTTGGCAGTTCGCGGTGACGCCAGCAGGGATTTGCGCCAGATGATCATCGGGACCCTCAGTGAGAACAAAGTATCCTACTCTGGGGTCACACAACCCATCTTCAAAGACATCACCGTGCCCTCTATCTCCATGACTACCATGACCTCCATGGCAACTGCAAAGCTGCTCAAATAAAGCCAGTCCCCATGACACCATTTCCATTTTCAGCACCTTTGTAAAACAAAAGCAAACGTTTTTTCCAGCCGCCGCTCAGTCATTCTTAATAGTTTAATGCTGTTTTCTGTCCTCATCTTTGAAGTTGCCATTTTTATTGTCATTCTGATCCCATGTTTGCTTCAACAAAATAAATTCATGGTGGTAAAAATTTGATTAAAGGTTGAAGCATCACAAGATTTAGTTCCATGTTTCTGCTCTTCTCCCTCCTCTTCAGTTTTTCACTTGGTTTTCATCTTGCACAGAACGACAGCACCTGTATCAAACAAGATTATGCATAATGTCAAGTTTATCAGAGCAGCACAACATTGTACATGTATTCCTCTTTTAGTTAGCAATTTCAGTCAAATTATGTTTAAAACAGTTTGCAGTGATCATAGTAGGAAGTCAAAAAATTGCAATGACAAAAAATGTGCAATTTATTTAGGTGCTATACATCATGTACATTAATGATGACACTATGAAGAGTAAGAAGTTTTAAAAACTTGTATTTATGGGCTGCCTGGTAGCCGAATGGTTATGGGCACCATATTCCATGGGCTCCTTGAAGATGAGCTCAACTGCACAAGGTGGACAGCAGCAGAGGCAGTGACAAAAGCTGCAGTGGAGAGGGACAGTTCAGGATCTTCTCACCAGCCTTCGCATCTTGAACAGGAGTACACAGAAACGCATCCCGTTAGATTCTGTCCCGATTTAATAAAATGTCATCAAACCATACTATTCGGTTTGTACTCTGTGTCCAGTAGTTTTTAGCTATCTTTATAGTTCTGTTTCCATATTAGCCTACTTAAATATTTTCCGTGAACATTTTGTTGGGCTACACTTCACATGGAAAGTGGTCATCATATTAGTTTCTGCTGTAGCTAAGCTATACAAGCTGGCCAGATCGGATAATATATGAATCCACATAAATACATTAAATTAAAAATGGGCTATTGGCTACCTGGGCCTAGTTGGAATACAAGGGGAGAGGAACCAAAGTTTTCATTGTTGTTCTGTCAGATAATTGGACTAGATGTTATTTTCAGAAATTTAACATTCCGCTTGCCAAACATTCTTCTGTCACATTAAATGAGTAGCCTACTATTGTAGAGCAGTCAGAACTGTCATACTGGGACTATCTGTAATAGGCCATGAGGTCACTGTATTCAGTCTCTCTGAATGTCACTATTGTTAACAGAACAAACACTTGTACTGCAAAACAGACCTAGACCTCAGCCTAGATCCTATAAGCTCTTTACTGTAGGCCTACATCCATGTTCAATTTGGAAAGAAAAGGAGCTGAAACCAGTCAAAGTGGTGATTTGTTCGGACTCTGCTGCAGCGCTTCGAACTTTGAAATCAAGAAACTTCATAAGGGAGGATCTTATAATTCAATATGGTTTTATTAAATCTCCAACATTTAGGAAAAGCTGTACATTTTTGATGGATACCGGCTCATGTACTGCATTATTAGAATGTAGGAAGTTTAATGTACAATGAGAAATATTGAAGGGTAGAGTACTAGAATTTGGCAGAGAATGGAGTATTAAAGGTCTGTTGGAGATAGGGGGAAACTATCAGATGCAAGGAGATTTTAATAGATATTTTGAAATAACTGGGTTAACAAATAGAATACAAGCTCATAAAGCCATGATATTACACACTGCGGAACAGTAGGTGGCGGCATGCGCCTTCTTCGTTGGTCTGTAGCCCGCCATATACACTGAAGAATAAATAGAAGAAGAAGTAGTAGTGAGAAACAGATGAATAGAACGTTGTGTCTGTTATGTGAGGCTGAGGAACCTTGAACATGGACAAAACGGTTTAGCTTCTGTCACAACCTAAGTAATACACCGTCTTTCTATCCTGCACATCTGCTACGATTACGATCAGCTGGACCTGAACTGGGTAAGAGTGTTTGACAGCACAGCTAATGTGGTAATGCGTTTACTGCTGACGCGCTAAGCTAACGCTCCAACAGCTTACGTTTGGTTCGTAAAGGTGAGCAGCTAACGGCGGCTACCGCCACCGACAAGAACATTTCAGTGAGATTATTCTTCTTTGAAGATTGCTGGACGCCTTGTATCTTAAAGCTGTGCTGTAAATAATCCCCGTTAACGCTACGGTTCAGGGCTGTTTGTTAGCAGGTAGCAGTAGCCATTCGTGGCACAGAGGTAAACGAGCTAGCGTCACTCATACAACTGAAACCGTGTGTTTCGAGGTCAGGTTTAGATGGTCAGTGTAAAGGTCTTTCACAGCCAGGACGTAGCTACGATTCAATTGTTGATATTTCATACGTTAGGAGTAAATCAGGGCACAGCGTTCATACTGCGGAGAACATCTGTGCTTAAACATGACAAGACGAGGATTGCTGTGACATGTCTGCTGCCGGTGAAGAATATTCACATTTTAATAAAAGAAAAAAACAACCTATGTCCTCAGTTATATTGGCTTGAAAAGACTTGATTATCACGCATTTAAGAATCGCATGCATGAGCTCTTTTTTTAGTTAATTAGTGTGCTATATATATATATATATATATGATACAACGACTGACAAATATATTGTTTGTAATAACTCAAAGTAATGCTAATACTGATATTAAAATGACAAATCATAGCACCCATCAAGAAAGAATTGTAGTTGCTGTCTTTGTGCAGTTCAGACTCGCTCAGTGTACCACAGGCTTTGTTTTATATTCATGGCCAAATATACTGGCACGCCTGCTTTTCTATCAAATAATTCACTGCTTCTCCCTGGAAATTGTTACAATCACAAATTCTTTGGTATTCTCATATTTCTTTTGTTTGCATTGGAACAACACAAAGAGCAGAGAAAACAAAGCCAAATCTGATATGTTCCACACAGAACATCCAAAATTGTAGTGATGCACCGAAATTAAAATTCTGGGCCGAAACCGAAACCGAAAATTTAGGATGCACTTGGCCGAAAACCGAAACGAAACCGAAAATGGCTTCTTTTAAAAACTTCAAATTTTTAAAACACGCTTACTCTATAATTGTGTATGTGTGTGTGTGTGTGTGTGTATGTATATA